TTTCAAGTATACATATCAGAGAAATATAGTACTACTAAAAGTAAACTAGCTATTTTTCAAACGCACTACTGAAAAAAAGTATTTTATATTTGTTTGTACTTTTGATAGATTTTCAAAATTTAGCAAAGTATTCAGTGAAAATTTTTGTACTATATAAGGTAAAAAAACTAGATTATTGTTAATGATAATAATAAACAAATACTTATTAGTAAGGCTAGTGCTAAGACCTTTACTTTCAAGTTTTTAGTTAATAATAATATTAAATATTAATAATAATATTAATAAATTATTAATATTATACTCAAATCAACTCTTTTTGACAATCACTTGGACCAAAATTCCTACTAACAAAAAATAGAAAAATTTGTTAGAGAGTCATGGTCTACTAGTGGTTTGTCTAGAGTCAACCTACTACTATAGAGAACTCCTTTACAAGAAATATTTGGTATGCAAGCCAAGAGCGTTATTATACAAGATAACTGGCAGGGGGTGCTCTTGTATAAAAAATTTTGGTGTTGGGCAGGTCAGAACCGGTGTCATCAACGAAGCTTTTAGATCGTTACTTTGAAGAAGAACACTGAGAAATAACAAATTATCTGTTGCTTTGAAGCTGCACTCTTTTTTTTTGTCTCAAGTAACTTCTCTATTACTTATTTTTAACTTCCTGCCATTCTTTCAAAAATTTTGACAAAAAGTGAAGATTTGGCTTACTCTCTCCAAAAGATCAGAATTGTTTATATCTAAATCCAGATAAACTCAGTATATTATAACTGACATGTCTTGTTTATCAAAGGATACAGCGTTACTCTACATTACTTGAATCAGGTAGTGGGTGGTTCTCTACGTGACTTGGATTAGGTCTTAGGTTAAAGAGGTATCTGGATTTGGTTAGTAGTTGGAAGGTATATATTAAACTTGGCTGTACAATTGAGATATACAATGGTTGTAGTTGTTATATAATTTTTACTTTAACTTGGCACAGGATATAATAGTATATTTTCTTTGTTTATGGCAACTTTTGGGTTGCTTGGCTGCTTTTTGATAGAGGTAGTACCCTACCTTGTTGGCCTGTTGGGCTTTTCTCTTTGTTTTTCTTTTTTTACCTATTCTTTTTATTCTTTTTTTTTCTTTAAAACTTCTTTTTCGTTTATTTTGTTTTTATTAGATATAGTTCTTTTTTGTTTCAATAATTGGTGGTTTTGTAGTTTGGTATAAAATCACTACTTTCTTTTGCTCTTAGTAAAGAAAGAAGAATTGAAGAGATTAGCTTTTAATGGGCTGACAAGGTTTATCCAACTTGTATACAAGATAGTGTGACGAGTTGCTAATGGAATGTTCTATGTAGCCGGTAGATATCAAGCTTGCAATTTGAAAACTTAGTTTAGTTAAAATAGTTTACTGTTATTAATTAAATAAATAAAGTTGTATTGGAGCTTTGGCAAGACCGTCAAAGAGTTAAAAAAAATAATAATAATAATAATTTTATTATTATTAATTATTAACAGGTATTTGTTTGCTATACTAAATTTAGTACAGTATTAAAAGTTAAATTTTAAAAAATTGGTATTAATAACTTTAAATTAAATTTATTTAATATATAATCTTATATTTAAATTTTATTTTGGTATATGGTCATCCCCCTCTATAGTCACACCTCCAGGATACAAAAAACTATAATTATATAGAGGTGTGACTAATATAGAGGTTACCTCTATATAGTCACAATTATATATATATATATATATAAGGTGACTATATAGAGGTATCAGTAAAAATATAATAAATACTGTAATGTGTTGACAAAATATAGTAAAGCAAAAAATATTAATTTTATAAAATTTATTATTTAATTTTACTTTATTCGCATTATTTTATAAAAGTACAGTATAAAAACACGTACAGTATTATATTATAGATACCAATTTATTGCCGTAAATTCTCGAAATAACAGGCATGGGTGTTATTTCGAATTTTGGCCTGAATTAAGCTTAATTCGAACCAAAATTTGAAATAACACCCATGCCCATTATTTTACGAATTAACAGTAGTTAACAAGATAGTCAGATCCGAATACTGTATTCATTGGATTTAATCAGATATCCAATTTGGTGTATCTGAATTAGAACGCTTTGAACAAAATCACCAAATTTTACAATTACAGTATTTTTTGATAAAATATTTGTTGGGGTTTGGTCCGTGATACTCAAAAAATTACTGCTTCCTGTTTTCGTGCCAGTGCGGCCCTTTGCCCTCATGATTATCAAATAATATGCCTTTTTTCTACCAAATTTGGGTCTCTATCAAATTCGTATAATTTGATCTATCATCGATATTTTATGATGCAGTGATCAAAATTTGATGATTTGATTACTACATCATAAGATATTGATGATAGATCAAATTATACAAATTTGATAGAGACCTGAATTTGGTAGAAAAAGGGCATATTTTTTTAGCAGGATTAAAACGATTAAAAGCTAACTACTTAACAGTGAAAAATGCCAAAAATACAAAAAACAAGGGTCTAAACCCGTCTAAAAGCATGTCGGGATGGCAATTTTATTTATAAGACAAGCCCTAATCCTAACCATAACTAACCCTTATATAAATAATCAAAAACATATAAATGTATATGGTTTAGCCATTCCCTTGAAATAGCATAAGCGTGGCACTTTAATTCGAATTCGGATATTCATTGAATACCTGAACGATTATTTAACCTCCAAGTGTTATATGATAATGCTAATCTTAACTATATTGGATAAAAGTAGAGTGTACGTATAGACTTATATGTTTTGGGTTTTTTCATGAAAAATCCCGGTAATCAAATAAGTCTAGACGCTCTAGATAAAGATTCAAAAGAGAATCATGTCCCATTGTAAGCGATTCAAGCTTTAAAAACAGCCCACTGTTATTTCTTTGCTATAAGTATAATTTGGGTTTAGCATACCTGTATTATTCTGAAATAATGTCTGAGCCGTTATTTCAGGATAATATGGAAAGAAAATATGTCTGCACCTCTAATGCATACATTTAACAATAAGATAACAAATAACAATCCATATCGTACTATATTTCTAAATAAATATAAGTCGTATATGATAAGTAAATTCTGAAATAAATACTATAACACCACCTCTTCTAATAAATAAAACAAAATCATATCGTACCGTTTTTTAAATTCCAAGAATTACTTGTATAATGTCTCCCAAATTGATATCTAAGAAAACACGTAGTTATATTAGTGACAAACAAAAAAAAGAAATTTGTAAATTTGCTAAAATGAACCCATCTTATAGACAATATCAAATTGCTAATAAGTTTAATTAACACTATCCTGATTTGAAAATTGATAGATCAACTATTTCAAAAATTCTAAAAAAAACTGATGAGTATCAACAAATTGAAAATAATTTACAAGCCAAAAAAACATTTCGCCATTGTTCTGTGAAGTATTCGATGCTAGAACTCACCATGAATATGTGGGTAGAATGGGTTATGACTGAAGGATTAATTTTATTCAAATTGTTAATAAAAGAAAAAGCTCAACAATTTGCACAAGCACTTGATATGCCCGAAGAGTCCCTTACATTTTCGAATAGGTGGATCTCTAGATTTAAAAGGCATAATAGATTAAGGCAAATTAAAATTCATAGTGAGGCAGGAAGTGCTCCCTTGGAAACCTTACCTGCAGAACATGTCAAACTACAAGAGCTTCTCTCCTGCTATGACCCAGAAGATATCTATAATGCCGATGAAACAGGTTTATTCTACCTATTGCTCCCTAATCAAACACTTTCTAAAAAAAAAAGTTAACTAGAGTAAAAATAGTAAAATAAAATAAAATAAAATAAAAATAAAAAATAAAAATAATTTTTTTTTTTTTTTTTTAGAACAAAACCAGGATAACCGTATTGCTTTGCTCTAACTCAACGGGCTCCAATAAGTTACGTCCACTGGTCATTGGTACCTCTAAAAAGCCACGATCTTTTAATGGAATAAATAGATTACAACTACCAGTAACCTATAAAGATAACAAAAAAGCGTAAATGAAAACCAAACATTTGGGAAAAAATAGTTGAAATTTATTGACGCGGAATTCCGCATTTAAGGTAGACAAGTTTTGCTTCTTGTTGGCAATGCATCCTCTCACACGGCCCCAGAAACAAGTAATCCAACTGAAATCCAAGATGTCGAGGAATCTGTATTGGAAGATGACTCTGATAAAGAAATTGAAGTTCAGGAACAACCCTGGGGAAGGTCGCGAGAAAGATCGCGAGGAAGGTTACGAGGGAGAGCACAAAGAAGGACTTGAGAAAAATGACCTCAAGGTAAAACTCAGAGATCTAATCCTGCGATTCTGGCCATTCCAGGTGAATTTCAGACAAACTTTACCTCATGAATATCACTGTACATTTTCTCCCACCACATACAACAGCCCACCTTTAATCCATGGACGCTGGTATCATTAAAAGCTTCAAGTCAAGATATAAAAACATGTATTGTCGTTATTTGTTTAATCAATTTGAAGAAAATAGAGATCAAAGGTAAGAGTTACACTGGTAAAATGTATTATATAAATGGTACGATTTTAAACTATAGCTATGACCCAGTTTGGTGACCTGTATGGGTCACCCAACCCAAAGAATTCGAATAAGCAAAACTCTACTAAAATGCAATTTGCTTATAAATATCAATATATGATCTGTTCCGGTTTAAACAGATCATGGATCAAATTCCTGTATGACTTGTATAATCTGAATTATAACCCAGATTGGTATTTTCTAACCAGGCCAAAGCTCTAACTCAAGCTGCCATTAGAATCATGCTATTTAACATGGTGAATTGTTTAAATTTTACTAGTGTTAATATATAATTTATACTAATGATTTTATAAATATAGAAAACTTACTATAAGAGAAGCCATTGATTTTATTTCTGATACTTGGGATGAAGTTAGTGAAACTACAATTAAGAATTGCTAGAAGGCTACCAGGATTATGCCAGAAACATATGAACTAGAAGAAAGTGAATCGGATGACGAACCTGAATATGAAATACCAGAGATCAATAATGCTACTATGCTAGTTAGCGATCTTCTGTATGAAACCAACCTGGCAGCCCAAGAATTAGAAAGTAACATTAATGAATATATTGATATGATTGACCAGCCAACCATGACTGAAGACATATTAACAGATGATGGTATTATTGAAGTGGTGATAGATAAATTTGGTGAAGATGATGATGACGACGATGATGATGACGAGCCACCACCACCTCTAGTAACTATGGCTGAGGCCATTGAAGTATTGGAAAAGGTTATAAGATACCAGGAAAGCCTTGATTTTGGAATTGGGTTTGATAAGTATGAATTAGCTGCATTGAGAAAAAGACTCAAGGAATGGAGATCTGAAAAAAAATAATAATAAAAAACAGTTTTCCCTCTTATCTTTTTTTGGAGATACTAGCACTGCTTCCTAAATTTTACTTTAATTTTGTATTTGTGCATTATTTGTTTTAGTTAGGATATCGAAAAAATATAGAATCGAAATAAAGAATAGGCTTTTAAAAAAAAATCTTTTTTTCTTTTTCTTAAAAAAAAAAAATGCCCTGAATATAATTATTGAGATTATCATAGATCTAAAGATTGTGTTCTTATTGCGCAGTAGAGCCTTGAACTGCTATAGCTGCGACTAATAGAAGAGGATTTAGTATATACTGCACTTGCATAAAAGGAAAACTTAAATAAAAGAAATCAACTTTTACTTATCTAAGATCATGTTCTTGAATAACTTAAATAGGCTGTTCTTATTTTTTTTAAAGTTATTTAAAAAAATTTTTTTTAATTAATAAAATTAATAAGATACGTACGTAAAGTACATAGTGCAATATAAACTAGTAGCACATCGATCTCAATAAGCGAAGGTCTAGAACTTATTTTTATTAGTTCTATATAAAGCCATGCAAAATTAATTAAATGGTTTTCATAACCGGCTGGGTCAAAATTTGAAAATTTCAAAAAAAAAATTTTTATATGTTTTAATAACCGGGTGGGTTTTAAAAAAAAAATTAATATAAATTTTGTAAAATTTTATATATGAAATTTAAAAAAAAAAGCCGGCCGGCTGGATCTATTTAAAAATTTCATGTTATGAAAACCAAGTAATCAAATTTGTATAGCCTAAAGTGTAACTTGCTAGATTTGTAAACCCATAATTTATGTGACTTTAGCGGAGTAATTTTATTATAGGCATTATATAGATGGTTAGCAAAAAATTGTAATAGTGACTATAAAGTAATTGTGCCTATATAGAGGTATAATTAATATAAAAAGAGTTGGTAAAAAAAAAAAAGTGACTATATTGACTTTGTAACTATAGAGGAGGTGACTATAGAGAGAGATAACTGTATTTAAAAATTAACTAAAAGTTATATTATTATATTTAAAAATTAAATTGCTTCTAAAAGTGTATACAAAAAACACTAAATTATAAATAACAAAATATTTGCTTAATAAAATTTTGTTAATTTTTAATAAGGTTGTAGAGATAATTTTTCTGATTCTAATTATAGTAAAATCATTAAAATTGGTTTAGTATATAAGAAGTTATAAGTAATTTAAATTTACAAATTTTTACTATGTTTTTACTATATTTTATTATATCAATTCGTCTGTAATACAGACAAATTTGCTTGTATTTTTTAAAATGCAAAAAATATATTTTTAGTTTTGTTTTAATAACTTTGTTATAAAATTTTTTTAAAATTATTAGAAAATTTTAGTACAA